GTGTGGAATATATATATAACTATATGTATATAATAGCAGTATATATTAGATAAACTATATAAGTGTATATAAGTATACATACATACTTGGGTGTGTTTTTTTTTGTTTGTTTTTCTTTTGTCCAGAAACCAAAGCAAAAGGACTGGCATCCTCCTGGAGGATTTATTCTAGGACTCTGGGCGTTGATTATCATGGTTTTCTTTAGAACGTATGGAATCAAGCACATGAAACACATCTTCTGAATCTGAGCAAGCAAGATGTTTGCACTGACTGCTACTTGGGATTCACTAGTGCCATCAGAGTTCTTTGTGTGTGTATTACGGATGTAGGAAAAAACTGCTGAAATTTCACTTACAAATGTTCTTTCAAAATAATCTCCTCCCTTTTTTGAAAAAAGTGTAACATTATTATCACATTTTCTTTTTTTTTTAATTTATCTTGTTTACATATGCACTTCCTGAGCAATTTTTTTCTCATGGTTAAATTACAAAAAGGGGGGAAGGACCCTAAACATCTTAGCAGAATCTCTGAGGGTGATTATTAATTGTAAATGGGCAAATTGTTTCCCATGTGCTTCTAAGTAAATTTTAGAAATAGTCACCTATGACTGAAGAACTAGACAGTATGCAGAATGTTATTTAAGATGTCATTTTATCAATAAAAACTTAAGCCACTTTGGAGACTTTGGAATGGTGTATTGAAAGCTTTCTCCACAGAAATAAAAATAATGTAGAAAAATATTGATCTTGTTTTTCCGTTAAGTGCAACTCTTAGATCAGTTCTTTTACCTTAGGCAATTTTGGGTTTAGGATTGTATGAGTTGGTAAAAGTAAAAATACAGCCAAACACTGACTTCACTGAATCTACTTGAAGAAGAAAATGCCAGAAAGAGTAAAAATATGACTTCACCCCGTCCATTAGAAACCCTTCATAGACTTTGTCTTTCAACTTCATACAGTTCAGAGCTGGAGGTTTCTTGGGTTTTCAGTACACTGGGTTTTTGCCCAGAGGAAATTTGACTTTGGCATCACGATGAAAAATGTTATAAATTGTGCTATTATATTCTGTGTTTTCTGAGCACTTGGAAAATGAGCTTTATCACTTAGGTTTTGTAAATTCAGTTTTGACATACTGATTTGTTCTTCTTAGACATTTACTGACAATTGTATGTTAAATGGTTTTTGTCTGTATGTTATACTGTCATATTAGGGACAAGAAACGCAAATTTGTTCATGTATAGAAACAAGCCTACTAGGTAAGAGGTGTTTTTGCAGTATGCTTTTGGAACCTGTTCTCTGTCCTAATAATAAAGCTGGCATACACATGGTGTAATTTTAGATACACATTTCAAAAAATTATTAGGAATTATTTGTAATCACACATAATATCAGAGCCAAGATCCTTGTCTTGGAAGCATGTGGTATTGAAAACTTTCATATTGCACAGAACATACAAATCTGAATGCTTAAACATTTTTATTGTCCTTTTTTCTTCTCTTTCAGACTGATTGTGGCACCATAGCCTCAGGTTAGGGGTAGTGGACTCCTCAGAGGGCTGCATGTATAGAGTGACTGGAAGGGCTACAGAAGGCAGCTGTTGAGGCTGGCAGCTGTTTCTAAGGGCTGATGCTGGACAGCAACGTCAGCACTATAGCACGTCTTCTAGGTATAAAAACTTTCTTTTTTTCTCCATATATCATTAAGGCAGCAAGAGGAGAAAGGTACAAAATGATCCATTATCTAGTGGTAAATTCTTGCCTGTTACAACATCGCTATAAAGTTATCGTACCTGGAACTTTCTATCGCATTTTTGGCTGAACAAGAGTTGTTCTCAGCTGCATTTGTTGAGCGCCAGGAATAGGAATTAGCTGTATTTAAAACCAAGGCATTCCCCACATGTGTATCCTTAGTTTTGTAAACTTATACTCTGTGAGAAATAATATTACAGACTTCTTCCCAGTTTGCAGGTGAGAAGTTTTTGTATCACTGATGCATAGGTATCTCGGCCAAGAACAGTGCAACTTAACACGCAAGATGGAAGGTCTGCTTCCTGAAAGTGGCCTGCTGAGAGAGGAAGAGTTTGAACAGGTCCAAGCAGTATTAGAAAAGTTGCTCTGGATCTCTTCATAAGGTGTTGTTTTTTTCAGATACAAAACAGTAAATTCATACACAAACCCTGATACTTATAAAATGGGCAAGGGTAACTTTTCTTAAAATGAGAAGACCTACTGCTTTTCTCAGCTATTTCTAATGCAACAATGAACTAAAATCTGTTTTAGACACTGTAAAAAAAAAAAAAAGAATCCTACAGAATTTGTTCTTAGAGGAGCTGCTTAACTTTCATTTTTTAAAGTCAGCCTTTGATGCTTTTTTCCTTTCTATTGTAGCAATTATTTTTATCAAAAATTAATTTTGTAGTCAAGTTTTGACACACTTTTTAAAAAAGTGAAATGGATAGAGCTTTCTGCCTTGCTTCTGTTGCTATTTAAACTTACTCAGAATCCTCAGGCCTTATTCAACTTCTCCCTTTCCCTTTTTCAGCCACCATTTGCAGAAAGTGGGTAGAAAAATCAACAGAACTGAGCTGAATTTTGTAAGTAGCAGAAGATGCCAAAGATGCTGTCTTTTTAAAAGCTTCTCTGCTTGGGGAGAAGGAGGCAATTAGGTGGGTTATTAAAATGCAATTTATGATAGAAACACTCAGTAAGTGTGCCTGTGAAGGTGATTAAATTGAAGTGAGAACAACAATTAGACTGGAACGCAACAAACTATGCTCCGGGCATTTCTAACATTTTTACATGCGAATTGAAATAGATGGTTCTCAGAGTCACCATATAGTTGCCTTCTCTACGCTTTTCATTTCGTTCCTCAAGTAGTTACAGTCTGAAAGCAGCTCTAGAAATGTTTCAGGGTTGTTTGCATTAAGTATGTTTCGTGTGCTTTTTTTTTTTCTTTTTTTTGAAAGGTTAGTAATTTTTGGTTTTCCCTGACATTCCTTCAAACACAGTTTAGGATCTGGGAACTGGCCAGAACATTTTCCCTCTCGCACACCGTTTGTGTTTTGCAGGCCAAACAACACGCTTGTGCAGTGCAGTGCAGATGCTTTCTCCCCTGTGCACAGATGAGCCTTTTTAATGGAATCCAGAAAACAAGCCAAATGGCAGTGCCCTTTTGTTTTCTTGCATAGAAACTTCTAGAGCAGAATTACTTTCAGCAGTTTGTGAGTCTGTGTAGATAGGTCTGTGAACCAAACATACCCATGCTTGCAAGATTTTGAACGTTCATTTCTGAATTCTGTACTGTGTAGTTGCATTAACCTATTTTGCAACAGGTTACTTTAACATTGTTTAGAATATTAATGGTGATAAAAATATTAATAACTCGTTAAAAACTGAATGATAGCTTATTAAAATGAACTTTTTTATTTCAAATTTCCAGCTCTTTAGGATCTCTTATTGATATGCATTACCATCATTCAGCTGAAGATACCAGCAGGTATTGCACAAAAATCAGTGGAGAAAGAAATCTGAGCAGCTATGAAATTATCAGTCTATGCCAGCCAAACTTTTTATGTTTTTCCAAATATCACCATGAAATTCTGTCTTCCTAGCATGAGCTAGGAAGAAGCTAGGATGACACACAGACCAAAAGTATCTTTACAAATAGCACTAACATTACATCTCTTCTAGAGAATGGGCTTAGCAGAGTTAGAGTTTACGAGGAGGGGTTAATCTCCATAACTAATTACAGGAAAGAAAATGTAATCTGGTTCTAATTCTGTCTCTTAGTGTTTGCAAATTGTGTCCGTTCCCATCTCTGTGTCAGCAGTTAGGGATACCATTGTATGGTACCACATGGAGGAAGCATACGCAGCGGGAGTGAATGCATCTTGTGACCTAATACGCCTTCAGATGGGGATCATGGGAGGGCAACGTGGGGCTGAGCTGCATACACTAAACCAGTGATTTGTGAAAGAGGTGAGAGCAAAGAGCAGATTCAGATATGAATTTATCATGGTGAGGGAGAGGATTTGCAAACTGGCAGGAAGGACAGAAAGGTGGTGTAACGTATTCTTCAGTGTGTAAGATGTAACTGAGGGACTAACTCTCCCACTGAGGCAAACGAGCAAGGTGTGCAGACCAGGCATTTGGAAGCACAACCTTCATATATGGTACAATTTTGGGACAAAGACTGGGAGCATTTGAAAACTTAATATCCCCATGTACACATCTTCCAGATCCACCCATGTCGCAGAGCTCTTCTGTGACCTGGTAGAATTTTATCATGCTTTCCAGAGCCATTTACCTTTGGGCTGAGGACAAGCATAAAGGATGCTTTTACCTAAGAGGCTAATTTATCCAGAAAGACATTAACTACAGAGAAAAGCAGTGTATATAATGAAAGTGTCTTCTCAACCATAACTTCAACACTGCTGTACAATAATGAGTATCGTAGGGTTTTTGCTTTTTCTTTTTTAAGTGGTGAAAGGCAAAGTTGAAAAACCACAAGTAGAGGCATTTCTTGTGGTAGATAATATCCTCTGCTGTGTGCACCGTGCTATTATCTCTGCTTTACATCTGTCTGTAAACTTTTAAAAATAACAAGGTGTAGGGAATGCACCTTGAAAGTATTGGTGTTTTATGATGCAAACTTGTATATGCTGCATAATACACTCTGAAATCATCATTTCATAGCACTAGTTTCACTTGCAAATTCTTTAAAATTACTTAATTTTTCTCCCATAATGAGGATTTTTGCATGATTTATTGATTAAATTGCTAGCATTTGAAGATTTCAATTCAAAGTTTATGAAGATGTGTGTATCAGAATGTTTGATTCTGCTCTGGTCTTCTCCCCCATGCACCATTTTAGATTTAATTTTTTTTTTTTTTTTAGTGTATGTGCAACTAGAACACTAAAGCCTTGTTCATATAGGCTTGTCAGTTTTGCTACTCTGGCCAACGGTCTTACTGGAGATGCAGATTGTATCAGCAGAAGTTATTTTGGCAGCATTGCAGCATTGTTTACGCGAATTCCTTGAACAAAATAAGCTATACCAGTAATTGACTGTTTTGATAGTGTAATAGCTGTGCTGGCTAAAGCTCTAGCATGGATGCTATTTCTTAGGAAGTGACTTTTTTCACACTGCTGACCGATTCATAGTTTCGATGACACGGTTCCTGTGGAGACCAGGCACGGGCAACTGGGGTGTGTGTTTTGTTTGGGACGTTTGTGTTCACTCTGGCATGTCATACTATTCCATATATCAACAGCTGTCTAATTTGAAATAGCAGATGTATTTCCTTTCCTAGCTCCAAAAGGACTTACTGAAATAATACTGTCATAGATTAAACGCTTGACTCCGCCGGTTTTGAGGGCAGGGGGCACTTAAGGTTAGGCTCTTTGTGCTTTCTTTACATCCTGTTCCAATATAATGATACGTATTTCCTTTGTCAAGTGCTTTTAGATATACTAATGAAGAGCATCACTAAGACTTAAACATGACTGTTTGTTTTTTTTATTAGTTACTTATAATTTTTGTGCTGTTTTTCCTGTCCAGGTTAAATTTTTCAGCTCACAGTATTATGTCTGAAACTGTGATGATTTTAGGTTCCCCTAACCTCCACTGGTCTTTCTAATGCAAGAAGAATGGCAAACAGGATCATCAGTTTATCTTTGCAATGCACTTTAGTATTTTGTAAAGCTCTTTTACATACTCTCCTTCATAGCAGTCCTTATCTTTGCATTTTCTTTGCATATAATTTTTTCTGTACTTATTTTTGTTGCTTATTTCTAAATAAGCTGCTCTTTCTCTGCACTATTTTGTGTGATGGAGTGAGCAGAAATGACCCGAGTGTTTCATAAAGCGCTGGCCTACAAATGTGTAACCATTTATAAAAAATGCAGTAGTGAGGCTGAAAAATGTTCCAGCTTTGTGTACAGCTTAGATACAGAGAGGATGTAAAAGGTGAGGGGAAGCATACCCTTGTAGATCATAAATCCATCCCAGTCTTTTGCTTTTTTGTTAAAACATAAACCTAACCTAAGCTCTTGCCTTAAACTCAGTCTCACCAAAGATTTCCTTTCAGAATTTCCTTCATTCTGCCATTAAGACTCACATTATGTTACATATTTAAATTGTAACTAATAGGCTCCAACTAATTTGATGGCCAGAGTGAATCAGCCAAGTCCTAAAACCTTAAACCTTGCAAAACACAGATTGCTCTCTTTATCTTCACTGTACTTTAGGAATTTTCTAGTATCTTAAAAACTACTGATGTGATTGTACAGTTTTTTGTCTCAGCTGCGTAAAACAGCTGGCATATTTAAATATCAGTGGACATCTCCTGATTCTTCAAAACTGAGACTAAGTAAAACTGAAAAACCAGATGATGAAGACAGCTTTCCTTGACAGTTAAAAAACGTCTTGCTCTCCATCTGAGCTAGATGCTTTGGTCTTGGTTTCAGTAACATGAGAATGCAGTCGTTTTTAGATCTTGCGGCTGCCTGGCACATGCCCTTGGTCTGTGTGGGCACATTGTGTGCATGGCAAGAGTGTAACTGAGAGGTACTGTACGACCTGATGTCCATTGGATTCAAGAACTTAATAGCTGCTTTTTCTTTTTTTTTTTTTTTTTTGGACAAAGTCTCTTTCCTGTATCCTGTCTCTAGCAGTGACTATAGCAGATACCAAGGAAAGAGTACAGAAGAACAGGGAAAGCATGTAGTGACATTTTCCTATAGGATTCTGCTTGTAACCTTACACTAATGGGAAAACTGGTGATGTGTTCATAGCCTTTGTTTCATATCTTCAAATGAGTTCTTTAGGTGAGGATCTTGTCTTTTAGCCTGTGGTAGCATAGCTTCTTTGGAATTCTTTGAAGAGCAACCTGACAAAACTAATTTTGGAAATGCAGGTGGACTAATCACCTGGATCTCCTTGTTCACGTGCTTCAGAGAACTTTGAGGAACTCTAAATAGATTTGTAAGATTTATCTTAACAAAAGCTGCATTGGTTCTTAGCCAGTATATCTTATTTATGTACACTAATTCTGTTCTTCATTATAGTTTCTACCAGTTTGCCTGGTGCAGGTTAGGGTTACTTGTCGTAGTTTCCGAAGTCTTTTATGGAACTCCTTTAAAAATTATCATCACATCTGCCACCTTCCTGTCCTCTGCTACTGAACTGATTTTATGTGAGATGTTACACACCATGGTAAGTATTTACAGTTACTCAAATTTTTAAAGTTATTTTAGACTTTGACGCAAATACCATCTGGTCCTGGAGAGGTGGTACTGTTCATTGTGCTACTTTTTCCATAATCTCTTCTGGCATCACTTGAATTTCAGACAGTTCCTCTGCCTGTAACAGAGGATTTCTGAAGACAACTGCTCCTTGAACAATGAACAAGGATGCCAAAAATTCGTATAGTTTTCTGCTGATTTTACCTGAGTGCTCCTTCTGTACTTTGATCGTCTGTTGGGTAGCCTCTCTGGCTCTGCCTTGCAAGACAAGACAAGGAGATTTCTCACTTTTCTGCTGGCAGTGCAAGAGTACATCCTGTGGCAGTTGTGTGCTCTCTCTTGTTGGCACCCCTGCAAGGGCAAACCACTGTTACAGAAGGAAAGGAGATAGCTCATGGTCTGTTTCCACGTGTGTGCAGTTCTTCGTTCTACTGCATTTTGCCATAGAGCCTGTTCTACAGTCACCCATGATAAAAGTCACTATCTTTGTTTCCACTGGGATGTTGGAATTCCATCTTCACTGTGGCCATATGGCATCATTTAACATTTCATGCTTTCCTGTCATTTTCAGTGTAGAAAATATTTTAAAATCTAATGGTTTTAACAGGTATCTAGCATTAAGCAAAGCCATTGTACAATCATTTTGTAAACCATCCTGAGTTTTACATTTTTCTACTTCAATCCAAAGAAGTTTCTCATCATCTTACGGACTCTTGTCATTTCATATTTCCTAGATTTTTTCAGAGGTTTTTTTTTTTTTTTTCTTCTCCCTGTAACAATCCTGTGATCTGTGAGGACCGCTTTGTAGTAGGCAGCTGGAAATTCAGCTTGATCAGAATTAACTGATCCTGCCAGGAGACGTGGAAGTACTGATACTTGTAAGGTTTGTCTACCTTCGTACTCGTTTGTACTCCCTTTTGCTGGTCTTGCAAATGCTCTTTCACTGTTTAACTGTTTCTTTACCCATTATGTTTTTGTTTTATCCTTAGGCATGATTTTAATTGAACTAGAAATTGGATCTCCTTAGAGCAAATAAAGTATTTAACTTTCATTAGTCAGAGGTGATTATCAGAATTTTTCTGAGAGGTTCTTTTGTGGCGCATGCGACACAGATTTGTAGCATTTTCAAAAGAAACTTCTGCAGTACAGAGCAGTCATTGCTACTGAGCCACAGCAATCCCACTGTATCAGCTCTCAGCCTTAGATCTTTTTATTCCTGAGGAATATATCTAGATATCACAAACCATGTTCTACTACTTGTTCTTTCAGTTCCCCTCACCCCACCCCCCCAAAAAACTTACCAGTTGGGTAGTAGTAATCTACCTCCTATAATACTTTTTATTTGGACTGTTCTTCTAAGTCATTTATCTATGATTGTGTCCTTAGAGCTATGTGCAGTAAAAATCACTGAACTTCATGAGACGTTTACCTGAGAACATAATGCAGGAGAAGACCCAAGCAACATTTATTTTCTAAGTAAACATCTTCTGCGGAATTTGATTGATTTACACTTCTGTTTGTGCGTGCCTGTGTGTGTGTGTGTGTGTGTGTGTGT